TACCGCCTCCACCTCCGCCTCCGCCCCCGCATCTCCCTCCTCCTCCTCCTCCTCACTCCTCCTCCTCCTTCTCCTCGCCTCCCCCTCCCTCCTCCGCCTCCTCATCATCCCCCTCCCCCCCCACCCCCATCCCGAGATTCGGTCTCTTTACAACCAACGCAACCACTTTACAACCACACGGGTTACTTTACAACCAACATAGGATTGGAATGTATGGTTTTTCATCGAGAACGTCCACTTTGCAACCAGAACGGCCCGCTTTACAACCAGAACGGACCACTTTACAACCAGAACGGGCCACTTTACAACCAGAACGGACCACTTTACAACCAACTCAGAGAGGCCGTGCGTGTTTGCCCCAGAGCAAGTGGGCGCTCTGAAAAATGCTCCAGAGCAAGTGGGCGCTCTGAAAAATGCCCCAGAGCAAGTGGGCGCTCTCAAAAGTGCTCCAGGGCGCGCGGACGCTCTGAAAAGTGATCCAGAGCACGTGGGCGCTCTGGAGCCCGAGCGCCTGAACTCTCTGCGCAGGCCCCAGCGATGCCTCTGAGCCCGAGCGCCTGAACGCCCCGCGCAGGCCCCAGCGATGCCTCTGAGCCCGAGGACCTGGACGCTCTGCGCAGGCCCCAGCGATGCCTCTGAGCCCGAGGACCTGGACGCTCTGCGCAGGCCCCAGCGACGCATCTGAGCCCGAGCGCCTGGACGCTCTGAGCAGGCCCCAGCGATGCCTCTGAGCCCGAGCGCCTGGACGCTCTGGCGCTCTGAGCCCAGCAGACTAAGACAGGGCTTGCTAGCAGGGGCCAAGCGGCCTCAACAAGGGCCCCGTGCGCGCACGGGAATAAGGCGACAGCACACGTAGGAATGCTCAGGGCGACGCGCTGCCCATTTTAGGGATCACTCACAGGAAGCGAGCCCAGTGGCCTCCACAAGGGCCCAGCGCTCCAGGGAACTAGGCCATTGGCACCGCGGGTCTCTTGGGCCACGTTGGCCCCTGAAGCCCCACGGTGTTCTGCAAGGGGCTAAGTGCTCCAGCTCCAGTTGGCCCCCTGCTGCTCCTCGTCTTGGAAGATCGAGGTTCAACGTTCCGAATAAATACAACTATGTCGAAGATCGTTCCTTCCAGCGTCAGCCACAGTGCCAGCGCGGCAACGCAGGTATCCTGTTCGGGCAGCAGCCTCAGCCACCGTGCCAGCGCAGCAGCTTGAGCCACCGTGACAGCGCATCACCGCCACCTTTGTGCCTGCTACCACCACACTTACCGCTGCAGCCCCGCTACCTCCACAATTCCGACTGACCCCCCGCTACTGCCGCACATCCCATTGCAGCCCAGCTACCACCACAATTCCCACCGCTGCCTGGCGACCACCACAGTTGCCACCGCAGCTTCCCAACACCATGCAGTTCCCATTGTAGCCCCCGCTACCACCACATCTCCCACTACAGCTTTCCACTGCCATGCAGCTCCAGTCTTGGACGGGATCATGGTTTATTCGTATGTCCTGCGCGACTAGCCTTCGCCCGTCAGAAAAAAGGCAGAGCAAGCAATGGCAGAACTGACCGACAGAGCTTAGAGAGCAGGTCAAAACTCTAATCCGCCCACCAGCACGCAACATACCATAGCGCACCAGGTCGCCGCATCGCCAACGCGTGCGCAGTGCTTCTTCGTGCGCGATGCCTCAAAGAGACCAAAGCCACCCTTGCGCTTGCCCACGGAGATTTCGGGGAAAGGCCCGCGTGCATTCAATATGTGTTTTTACTTGCCTGGTTGTAAAGTGCCCTTCCTGGTTGTAAAGTGCCATTCTCGGATTTTGTAAGCTGGTTGTAAAGTGACCCATCTGGTTGTAAAGTGCGCTTCTGGTTGTAAAGTGACCCACGCGCTCCCCCTCCCCCCCCCCCCCTCCCCTCCCCTCCCCCTCCCCCCCTCCGTGGCGATCCGGATTGGGTACGATTTCACTGTTGGTGTGTGTTCATGCATTTCCGTGTTTGTGTGTGTGCGTGTGTATTGTGTATGTGTCGGTGTCGTTGTGTATATATATATATACGTGTATATATATATATATATGTGTGTGTGTGTGTCGGTGTGTGTGTGCGTGTGTGTGTGCGTATGTGTGTGCGCGTGTGTGCTTTAGTGGTTGTGTATGTGTGAGTATTGTAGATGTGCGCCTTATATGTTTGCGTAATGTAAGCAGGTATGTGGTATGCGCGTGTATCTATGTATATGCGCGTGTAAGCGTGGGGTGCCCGCACAACGTTTTCGTCCAATCTCCCTTCCTTCGTGCTCCTCTATCCTCCCCTCCCCCCCCAGAGAGGTTCCGTGACAACGTCGTGCCCTTTGAGCCGGGCTCGGGGGGGACAATTTCGTTAACAGAGCCCTCTTTGATAGTTAGTTGCCACTCCGTCGGTCTCTTTGCCTGGTCCGGGCTGCGACCGCCGAGTGCCTTGGTGCCAGCACTATTGCGGTGCGATTTAACATCTCCGCCACGCAGTGCACGAAGCTAGATGATACGAATTGGGCATGTTTCGTATCAGCACTCCCCTCCTCCCTCTCGTCTTCCTCCTCTTCCTCCTCCCCCTGCTCCCGCATTTGCGGCCCGTAATTCGTGACATTTTCGTTGCGTGTTACCGCCTGTGCGGGCCGCAGTCTCAATTTTGGGCGTACCGGCTTGTCCTCGATTTTAGGCCCGTTCCGTCGAAGTTTGCTGTTGCTTGTGCGCTTGGTTCTCAGTGTAACTGTTCGCCCCGGGCGCGGCCTGTCCAGCATATTCGGCAGGACCTCGGGGTCCACCTCACGGGCACGGTGAGGAAGCCGTAGGATCGGTATGAGTGTGAGCTCAGCATCGGCCGCCTTGGTGTGGTACGCTAAAAAAAAACTCGCCCCCCTCCTCCTCCTCGCTCTATTCATCCTCGTATTCGTCTTCATCCTCATCTTCCTCGTTTGCTTCATTCTCTTTCGTATATTCCTCATCTTCCTCATCTTCCCCATATGCCTCATCGCCCTCATAGTCCTCATCGCCCTCATGTTCTTATCTTCCTCATATTCCTCATCTTCCTCATCCTCATCTTTCTAAACTGTTTCACATTCCTCATCGGCGCAGTATCTTTTCGAGCGAGCGGGGATGCAAGTTGGTTGATTTGCGCAATGGTAAACCCGCCAGCCCCACAGCCGACAATCGTCGCTCGCTCCTGCGCCGAAGCAGACACCCTTATAACCTGAATCTCTTGAGGCGCGCCGCTCAATTTTACAGGGTGAGCGAGACGCCGTCTGGAAGAGTGCGCTGGACTGTAAAGTGCATCGGGCGTGTTGGGCACCTCCTCAGTGCACGCGGGACTGTGGTGCCTCACGCAGATCTTCGAGTACCTTTGACCATATATTGAGAAAAATATCGTTCCCAGTTGGCCCCGCGCAAGTCCAGGGAGGCACGCGTGGATCGTCAGCGGGTCGGTCCGAGAGCGGCTCCGCCGGCGGAAGGCGGCGGAAGTAAAAATGAGACATCAACATGTTTGGGTCCAGGGTTTTTGGGATCGCCCAATTATGTTCCGGCATGAAGTGCAAATCCCTCTCCCTCTTCCCCCTCCTCCGATTGGGGATCGGGCAAAGGTCGTCGTCCCCCTCCTCCCCTTCCTCTTCCTCCTCCTTTTTTTGCCTCGGAGGCCGGAGCGCGGCCCCTAGCCGTCCGGTGCCGGCGAACTCAGAACGAGTTCAGCAGCAGCAGCAGCGCCATCGCCGGGCCAGCAGCGGGGCTGTCCCGGGGAGCGCCGGGCTGGCGCGGCGGGGGGTCGATCGTACCGCCCAGCGCGGTAGCCGTGGCGGCGCCTGCAACCGCAAAGGCAGGTGACAGGGCCGCAGGGGGGTACGAGGGGACCCTCCTCCTCCTCCTCCTCCTCCTCCTCCTCCTCCTCCTCCTCCTCTTCCTCCTCCCACCTCTTCCGTTCCAGGACAGCCATTTTGGCTCAAATGTCGACCAACTCGCCTTGCGGCGTGTGCCGCGACCAGGGCGTAGCGGCGCGCAACTGCCGCACGCGCTGCCGCGACGACACCGGCAGTAGAGAACCAAATGACGACATTAATGTCACTACTCGGAGGTCCGCGCGGATTTCCCGAATCGGTGCCGGGGTACCCTGGCGGCGCCTCCGGCGGCACCTCCCTGGCGTGCTTTGCGCGCCAGGCGACGGGCCCAGCGCCAATCCCAACATTCCGCGCGGGCCTCCGAGTTCATTTTGTTTATGTTGTCGTTTAGTTCTCCAGGCAGCCCGCGCTGCAAGGGGCACGGGGGCGCCGAGACGGGCGACCGCCTGAGGGGGCTCAGGATTGCGGATCGCTCAATGAATGTTCTCAGGGCGCGCATTTTTCTCCGAACCGCTCCGAAGCATTGGCCGCGCATGCTTCGGAGCGGTTAGAGGAATTCTGCGCGTTCCCATTGGCATCCATTCGACGATGTCCGCCCGCAAGGCGGGGCAACAGGACTCCCTGGGAGCGCGTGCTCCAGCTGGCGGCGTTCGTGAACGCCTCCAGCCTGAGCACAGTGGAGAAGCTCCACGGACCTGCGGTTTTAAAGCGGCTCTTCGGCGGGCATGCCCCGAAGAACCAATAACATCACTGAGTGATGTTTGTGGGCTTCGGGGCAATGCCTTTCAGCCCAGCCACCGTGTCATCTGGAATCGCAACAGACAGGCGCTTGCCTGTCCTGTTGCGATCTCAGACGTCAGGGTGTCGCGCGGCATTCGAGGCAGCAGCGCTGTCGAAGCCCTGTGGGTCCGCGCGAAGGAGGACGAGGAGGTCCTGGACCTGCTCTCGCACCCGGACTGGACGGAGCACCGCAGGGGCGAGGCCCCGGGGAGGGCGGCCTGAAAGCATCGCCCCGGTTTCGGTTCTCTGGCCAGGGCTTTGGTCGACGCGCCAGTTCCGTCCGGCTTCAGGCTGGAGAGAGAGCTGGTTCGCCGGCCACCCGAGCGCTTGCCCGAGAGACCGATGCAGGGCGGATCTTCCAGGCCACTTCGCCCAGGCGAACTTCCAGCTCAACACCACGGACCTCGCCCTTTTGGACGAGTGGCAGGGCGCGGACTTGGCCGCGCAGCTCCTGGCGAGCTGGATCCCTTGGGGGAACGAGAACGCGCGCTGCCTTCGTGCTTCGCTGGCTTGTTGCGGGGAGCCAGCATTGACGCGCGTCGGCCCCGGGCTACGGCCGGAGGCCGCGCGCGCTGATGCCTGTCCCTGCGGGAGCCCGCGGAGGCGCGATAGCGGCGCTCGCTCGTTGTTCACCCACAGGCTCACCCGGGTGTGGGCCAATGCGGACAGCGGCGCCCACCGGCTCCTGCAGGAGTACAAGAGGCGCACGGGGCGGGAGCTGGCGGAGGGCAAGGCGCTCGACGCCAGCGGCTTTGAGGGGGCCGCGGCCGCCCTCAAGGTGAGGCAGGCCTACCCGAGGTGATCGGGGGGCGGGCGAGCGACGCCGCCGGCGTCGAGGGTCGATTTCCATGGTGGAGAGACGGCAGGTGATTGCAGCTCCTGCGCAGTCGTGTCCGCGCCGTTCAAGGCGGCGCGAGCGCGACCGCGCGCGCGCGCCGAAATCAGCGGTCGTGTCCCTCCGCGGAAGCGGCCGCCGGCGCGCGCGCGGCGCGCGTCGACCCGCGTTCCCCCCAAGGTACCAGCTGCACTTCTACCAGGGGGCGCGGAAGGTCCTGAAGCTGCCGGGACAGAAGTTCAAGCAGCTGCCGGCGCCTCCGCGGCGCGCCCAAGGGGGGCGAGGCGACGACGGGCCGCCTTCTCCGGTGACGACGGTCTTCCGAGAGAGCCCCAGCCTCTCGTGGCAGCCCGCCGCCACCTGACCGGAGGCCGCCCTTCTCGCTCCGTTTTCTCCTGCGCGCGCCGCCGAGGTGCTGACCAAGCTGCTGAGCACTCTCCTGAGCCGCGGAGCCTTCACCAACGCGGCCAAGGTCGGGTCGGAAAGATGGAGGGCAGCGGGGATGGGGGCGGCGAAACGGGGCGCGCGCAGCTGCGCCGGCGGCTGCCGCGCATCGACGAGAATGCGCGGCGGCAGCGTCGAGGCCAGGTGCTCGCGACTGATTTCACCGCCGCTTCTCTGCGGACCCCTCTGTCCTCCGCCTCGACGAGGCGCTGAAGGAGGGCCGCCGCAGCCTGGACACGGTCCTCGAGAAGACGCTCCTGGTGACCACGCCCTGGCACAGGATGCTGATCTCGAGGGACCTGGCGGTGCCGCGGGAAAGGAAGTGCGGCGTGGGGCCGCAGCGCCGCGGCTGGCGTCTTGCGTCGGGGCTGAATTCGCGCGGCGGCGCCGCGCAGATTTGGCCCCGGCGCGAGCCAGCTGGCCGGGGCAGCTGCTTCGGTACCCGAGCCGCGCCCCAGGCGCTGGCGCCCCGGGTGGCGGCCAAGGCGGGCTTCACGCTCGAGAGCAACACCTTGTCGGCGACGGCGCCGAGGACGTGTTGGAGCGCTGCCAGGGCACGAAGGGCGAACCCTCGGAGCATGGGAGCGCGAGAGACGCGCCGACTCCGATGCCTCCCGTTCTCTGCTCCGCCCGCCCCGCCCTATCCGGCTGGCGGGGGAGGGCGGGAGACGGGCGGGGCGGCCGGGCGGGGGGGCGGGGGGGGGCATCGGCATCGGCGCGTTCTCTCCTCCATCCAGGAGCGCCTCCTCGCGCTCCACCAGAGACTCCTGCCGCTGCTCTGGAAGCCAGCGGACTTCACGGTCGCCTGGACCGTGAGCCACACGGAGGACGCCTGCTGCGAGCAGCGCAGGCGGTTGTGCGACGAGAACCATGCGTGCGCACTGGCCCTGGCCTGGCCCGCCCTGAGGAAGATCCGCGCGCGCGTTTCCCTGGCCGAGCCTGGGGGCGCGCGCGCCGGCCCTGGGCCTCGGGGCGGGCTGGGCCGAGGTCGCCGCGGGCGCATAGTAATCGCCCACCCCCCAAGGTGGGAGACGCGCAAGGAGGGCAAGCGCAAGCGCGACAAGGGCGTCCAGCGCGCCCACGTCGCGCAGCAGAGGCGGAAGGCTTTCCCGCGGGAGGGGACTGCGATGACGGCCACGCCGCGGGTCGCCTCGCCTTCCCGCAGGGGACGCAGGGGGGGCCCCCGAGTCCGCCCCGTCGAAGGGGGGGGAAGAGGAGGAGGAGGAGGAGGAGGCGAAGGGGGAAGGGGAGGAAGGGAAAGGAGGAGGCGGGGGCGGAGGGCGGAGAGAAGGCGAGGCGGCTCGGCGGCGGGGGCAAGTCGCTCGTAGTCCTCCCGCCGCCAAGGCGCGCCTGAGCCGGGTCTGGCAGGGGGTCGCCAAACGGCGCCCGAAGGCGCCCGAGGTTTTCAGCAACCTCGCGGTTGCGCGGGCGTGCAAGCTTCGCCCCTAGGGGGACAGGGCGAGCGGAGCTGCACGGGGGGCGGGGGAAAAAACGCGAGAGCACGCGCCGCGGACAGGGATTCACATCTGCGGTACAGCGGAGTAGCGATGGGCGTATCCAATTTTTCCCCTATCAAAAAACGCACTTTGTAGTTGTTCAAAATGCAATGTTTTCCCCGTGCGAACTCGCTCGAATGTAGAAAAACATATGGTTTTTTGTTCATTTACTTGCTTCGATCGTCATATCGTGCGAGCGTTTGTCGTTCGAGGGCATCCCTTAGGTGATAAACTTATAGTTTTCCTATTGTGTTTTCAATGATTCGCCGCGTTCGCACGGGGAAACCCTAGGCAATTTGATACAATTTTGTGCTCTCGTTGCGGCCTCTCTGCGACGGGGGCCGAGAAGACTTCGGCGCGTTATTTGCGGGGCGCCCCGCGGGGCAACGAAAAGCGCAAGGGGGGGTCCTTGCCTCCGCTTTCTCGGGGCCTTGCCGCTTTCCCTTTTCTGGATTATGTCCGGCAGTTTGCGCCGGGGGGGGGGGTCGCGTCGACCTTGGAACAGGGGCGCCGCCTCTTGAGGTTGGGCGCATTAGGGCATTCCCCGAGCGCCCGAGGCAAAGGGCCCGAGACGCACCGCCCCTGCCTCTGCCTCTGCGCGGCGCCCCCCCCGCCCCGCGCCGACTCGCGGCGATGTCCGCTGACCTGCAACTGCTGTACCGCCTCTCGGCGAGTACGTGGAAGGTGGCCGCGGGCTGCATTTGCAACGCCCCCGCCCCCGCCCTCGCGGTAGATTGCCATCTGTAGCAATGCGTGAGTTTGCTGGTGTTCCCCAGGGCGAGTGGGTCGATGTGAAGACCGCCCACTGGCCCAACTTCGTGGTGAAGGGCAACCCCGGCGCGGACGATGGGGCCATGTTTGCGCGCGCCGCTGTCGCGCACGTGGCGAAGCTCACCCCGGTCGGGTACGACCGGGTGTGCAGCTTCAGCTGGTCGCCCGCGCTGGCCTGCGGGCGCTTGGTCGACCTGGCAGCGACCGGGGGGATATCGCGCGCCCCCGTCTCCTGCCCCATCGGCAATAGATATGACCCCCGCCTCTGTCATCGACGCGGGCCGGCATTGTGGCCAATCGGCGCCGGGGGGGGGGGGGCCTGCGGGGGTAGCGAGCGCGATATCGACGCCAGGCACACGACGCCGGCGTTGACTTGAGCCACGACATGATGATGCACGTGGCCGTCAAGGACGGCGTTGCGCAAATTAGCATTTAACTGTCTAGTTAAACACGATTAGTACGCACTCGACACTCCTCACTTTTTCCTCCGAGCGGTCGCCAGTGATGTCTGTCGCCTCCTCCTCATCCTCCTCGCCCCTTTGCCAGGAGGGCGACGGCTTCCTGGACCTGTCCACCATGGGCTGCCTCGTCCGCGCCTGCCAGGGCTGGGAGGCGGGCGATTGGACTTGGAAGGGCATGGACATGTGGCGTGTCCAAGACTTCGCCGTCAAGAAGTTGTCAAGAGGTGGACTGGTTCCATATCGACTGGTGGGGGGGGGGGGGGGGCATCATGTTTGTCTGTAGATGAGATAACCGAATGCGGGGGTCGAGTCGACCGGGGCGATCGACGCCGATCCGAACGCCCTTTCCCCGTCGATTGTCGAATTGTTCCTGCGATGAAAGCGATGGCGAACCAATCCGCAGCGAGTGTCCGTTGACCCGGCCGCCCGGCCACTGCCGCGCCGCCGCCCCCCCTTCCCCCCTCTCTGCGCAGGTGGCCGGCGACCGCGCCAAGCTCCCGGAGAAGCGCTTCGCGACGCTGCGCCCGGCGCTGGACTTGCCGCGCGAGCTCGCGCTTCTCTGCGGCCGCACGCAGTGGCACAAGCTCGACGCCGCTGGCCAGCAGCGCCTCGACGCGGACCTCAGGAAGCACATCCTGGCGCTTGTCGAGGATTGCGAGGGGGGGCAGGCAACGACGCAATCCCCTTGCGGTTGATCAGACGGCATCGCCGCGAGCAGGGCGGGCTTTTCTCCTCTGCGTCGGCCGGGGAGTGGCGCCTCCGAGAACCATTTGGTCCGCTGAATGTTTCTCGCGGCGCCCCTCCTGGTGAGCGGTGAGGTCGCCCCAGTTAACGCGGGGGGATCGCGCGTTGACCCCCCCCCCCCGCAGGACCAGCTCGCGCAGCCGCGCTGAGGTGGGGCCGGCCGAGCCGACCGTCGCGGCGAATCGCCGCGCTGGCGGCGCTGCGTGGGCAGCGCCACTTGTATATGTATACATTGCACCGCTGCGTTCCTGTCGAACGCCCGTTCCCTATCCACGGTCTGCCTCCTCCTTCCTCATTCAGGCTTCCTTTCGTCCTTCCCCTCGCCCGCCATCGCCGCCCCTCGCCCTTTTCGCCTTGCTCGGGCCTCCTCGAGTGACGTTGCTGCGACCCCCCCCCCGGCCCATAGCGCCTGCCCCGACCACCTTTGCCTGGCCTGATCACCCGTGAGCGCCCCTCGCGCGTCGGTCCGACGCAGCGTAGGGTGGTTTTTATTTGTTTTTATGTAGTTGTTTTGTTTCTTCTTTGTTTTTTCTGTATTTTGTTCTTCATATTCGTTTTTCTTTGTTTTTTTTTTTTTTTGTGTGTTTTTAGTATATTTTTTTTCGCCTGCTCCTTCCCCTCGCCTGCCTCCTCCCTCATCCAGGCATCGCTGCGTTCTTCCCCTCTCATGCCAGATTCCCCATCGCCGTCCCCCGCCCTCTTCGCCTTGCTCGGGCCCCTTCGTGCGACGCCGCTGTCTCCCCCTCCGGCCCATAGCGCCTGCTTCGATAACCCTTGCCTGGCCTGATCACCCTTGCGCCCAGCGCGTCGGTCGACGCATCGAGGGGGAGCGACTGCGCCACTTTCTGTGTTGCGAACGCCTGCTCCTTCCCCTCGCCTGCCTCCTCCCTCATCCAGGCATCGATGCGTTCTTCCCCTCTCATGCCAGATTCCCCATCGCCGCCCCCCGCCCCCTTCGCCTTGCTCGACCCCCCTCGAGCGACGCCGCTGCCTTCCCCTCGGGCCCATAGCGCCTGCTTCGATAACCCTTGCCTGACCTGAGCGCCTGCCGAGCCGCCCTCGCGCGCAGGGCCGGCGGCGGCGGCGATCTTCATCGCGACGACGATGCTCGGCGGCGTCGTCGGGGCCGCAGGCGCGCCCGCCGCGCCCGCATGGCCGACCGCCGCTGCATCGCCGTCGCCGCCCGACGTCGGACATCTCGCCCCGCCCGCAGTTTTGCGCGCGCGACTGTTGAAAACGCGTGCGCTTTCCCCGTGCGAACTCGCTTGGAAGTCAAAAAAACTTAGTGATTTGGACCGTTTATCTGTTCAGTGGCTGCACTCGGTGTGGTTTTCGTT